TTATATCATTGGCCACTGATCTAATCAGCCATACGATAACGACAATTCGTTTTGGGTCACGTGATTTCATTGTGGGTCATGCTCATGCATGTGTTTTGTCCTGAAGATATATAACGCGATAAATGGAATGATTTACCGGACTATAAAGCTAAGTGCTTATTTCCGTTACTGCAATAGCATTCTATTATAGAAGTCGCTTATCATAATAGCATCATGTGCACTATCACTGATGTAAAATGATTATATGACAAGAAGTCTTTTGCATCATGTCATTCATGACATGGAGCATAAAAGTGCCTATACGAAGCCAAAACGATGCGCTGCTTGACTCAAGTGACAATAGTATCCGCATCTGCGCCTTTACCTAATCATCTGGTGGGCCCAAGGATAATGATACTACACATACATATGACCCTATACTCTCCAAAACAACCTCTCCCAGCAGTGAGTATTATGAACATGATCCTTGCTATACGCAACATGGTGAAACGTATACATAGACGGGGCATAAAAGCGACCAGTAATGATAGGCAAATGTGTAGCCATAGGGGTAGATGTGATGTCTTGCGGCATATTATGGATAGCGACGACATGCAGAATAACAATGATCATGGTCTTCATTGATGAAGGAGGAATAATGAATGTGAGCAATGAGGGTTCTACTTGTGAGATGATGCACATGAGCTATATTTGTGAAGCCGTATTCGAGCTATGTGGGGTATTGCGGATGATAGATGATTGACCACGCATGATTTTACTCTCTCTCACAAAGGTAGTGTGTAATGCATGAGTCATTTATTGACAGCGATAGAGAAAAACAACAGCATATGGGAATTGAACGTGTCTGACTAATCTGTAAAGCTTCTGCTTTTGGCTTGCATGTCGATCCTTTGGGTGACAGGGGGTAAAACCAACAGGTTGGGATATGAGCAAACGTAGTGAACCATCTCCGCTTTACTCTACTGCTACTGCTGCTGCTGCTGTTCTTATTCAACATCACCACCACCACCAACACCGGACGATGAGCGAATGGGAAGACTCAGGCTACTATGACGACTTTTCCATCGGTCAACCACCTATCAAAAGAACTCGAGCCAAGCGTAGCTGTGATCTCTGTCGCAAGCGCAAAACCCGATGCAACGCCGATCAGCAACAGCCTTGTGAGACGTGCAAGAATGCCAATGTTGAATGTCACTTTGTCGCTGAGCAACGCAAACGAGGACCAGCAGCTGCCACTAGTCACGTGCAGTGGTTAGAGGATCGAATCAATCGATTGGAAGGGATATTGCAAGGAATACAACCTGAAAGGAAGCTTACCAACAAGCTGAATGATCTCAAGTTGACCGACTATGGACAAACACGTTACTTTGGAAGTAGTGCGGGTATCCATTTGGTGGATGAGCAGCTCTTGTCGTCAAAGCAACCACATCGATTACAGCATTCCCCAGCGCATGTGTTACAAAAAGTGAATGATGAATCGAATGAGCACATTGTGATCATGTCCAAAGCCCTTCTTTCGAGGCAAAAGGATCCAGTCCCTTATGGAGTGAGAAGGACGCGAATGCTCATGGATGTACCACACATGACACCCGAATTGACAGATGCAATGGTTTATGCGTAAGTGTGTGTAGGATGGGTGGTGGTAGTAGGTTGACTTGACAACCAATACATTTTTTTCTACAAGCTATTTCCAATACGTGCATCCTCATCTCCCTGTTCTCCACAAGATGTCTTTTCTCGAGCAATACTATTTTGAGAATCCACAGCCGCCCGATGAGAATCTTCTTTGTGCTGTTTGTGCTCTTGCTACTCAATTCATGGTCAACGAGCAAGATTGGATCGCTACGGGTCAATCCTTTACACGAGATATGCTGCTTGATGCTCAAAAGGGGCTGCAAAGGAAAGCAGAGAAGGTCTTGGAGAACATTCATCGCAAATCAAAGTTGAGCACGGTTCAAGCTTTAATCCTGATCACCATGTTTATGCATACCGGCGGTGTTGAGGAAGATACATCAATACGATGGTAAGCAACAATAAGAACATCATTGTATGCGCGTATACTAATTGGAAGGATAGGTTTGTTTGTGGAACGGTAAGTGTGGTTTTTCGCATAAATCCAACGATTCTCACGTGGTCCTTCTATAATTTCTTTCTTACAGGCGATTAGGATGGTAAGTTCAATCTCCCTCCCTTATTCATCATCTTTGCTTACCAAATTATTTTGTATAGGCTCAAGACATTGGATTACATCGCAGCTCAAGGCATTGGAGGTTACCAGAGAGCGAGATCGAAGTACGAAGACGAGTATGGTATGGGCTTTACATCATCGATCGTGAAGTAGCTGCACAATTTGGTCGACCGTAAGTGATCAGCGTCCTATGTACAAATGTCAAAAGACTAAAGTATAGCTCCCTTTTCTCGTTGGCAGCGTCACCATTCTGGATGAGGATTTTAATGTTGAGCTTCCAAGCCCATACGAACTTGAGTCTACGCACGAGAGCTATTTACGTGATCCAGAATTCCAATCATGTACACCTGCATTGATGTGGGAGGCACAGGTGGCGATCCAAGAGCGAAGACCCGTTTATGGCATTTTCCTTGAATCCATTTCACTCTCCAAGATCCTTGGCCACGTACTCTTGTCAATGTATTCTCCCAAGACAGAAGATTCAGCTAGACGCAATGACTTTTTGATCCTGACCATCGACAATCAACTCGCTCAGTGGAAGGCAAATTTGCCCCCAAATTTACGTTTCAACCCGGATGAAGTATCCGAAATGACATTGTTTTCCACAGGTAGTATTACTATCATTCATTGCCTTGGATCTCATCGCTAACACGCACATCTCATCTGCAGCCCACTTGAATATCTACTACAATTGCATACTTTTACTACTTCATCGACCATTTATCAACAATGACGAGTTGACGGATCCCATTTTTACCACTCGAGCATTGACCAAGTGTACTGCTGCAGCTATTGATATTGTGAATACGATCGAGGTAGTTGAAGCACAAAGGATGCCTGGTATGACTTGGTGCTTTATTGCATAGTAAGTTGGATGGTCTATGTACGTGGGGTTATTATTGTAAGGTTACTTTTGACACTTTTTTAAATTGTAGTGCCATTTTCCAATCTGCCAGTATCTTCCTTTTCAATGCAAAAAGTGACAGCCGAGCCTTAAGCCATCAAGGTGCCGAGTATCTTTCTCGCAGTGCGATGTTGTACAAAAAGGAAGAAAGCTTAAGGAATGGTCTCCATGCACATATTCTGGGGGTGATCGCTTCAAGATTTTGCTCATACCATGAACCACCACGTGTCAGCAAATGGTCACTTGAATTGGTAGAAGAAGAATCATCCTTGGAAAAGTACCAAAAACCCAGTGACAAGTACTCGTTTGGGGATACAAGTGAATCAGGGTTATTCTATAAGGCGTTGCCATATGACAATGAAGCAGCTTCAAGGTTTTCTTCTATTCAACCAGCATCCTCCTCCTCCTCCTCTTCATTACCATCCCAAGAAACAGCAATAGCAGCAGCAGCAGCAACCCACCAACATCCCCAACCATCTTCTCAAAGCGTGTTTGATCCCATAAGCCTACCCATGAATTTCAACCTTTCAAACGCTATCGAATGGAAGGAATGGAGTGATATCATCAACAACAGCGATACATCATAGACATAGATAGCTTGCTCAATTGCAAATAAAGTCTCACGGTCCCTCATGTTTGAATTCCTCATCCCATTCTCACGTCAATTCTTTTCAACATAATCCCCAAACAGCAAAAGTTGATGATAATGAAATGGCTCGTCTGTCTAAAACAATAATGTATTGGGTCGTTGCTTTTCGCTCTTGCACAAATATCATAATCTCCTCTACGTCGATCTTGGCTTCTCCAAATACCATACGCTAACAAAAAAAGAAGCGTGTTAGCCAATGAAGATGTCAACGTAGTCGATTGTGCATACCTGTTGGTGGCAAATTCAGCGGGTGCAATAGCTTCAGACTATTGGATTGAATTGGGCGTTTTCGTATCGTTAGCCATGATATAAAGAGGTTGCAAGATGAAGTTTTTTCAGCATTACCGATTGACCACGGACAGATCCAGTAAGACGTCTATCGCGTTCCATCATTTGTCTATCCCAGTTGTCAAGGCCGAACCGCGTTGGCTATATCATTTGTCGCGTACGAGGGAGGGAGAGAGTAGTTGCATATCAGTGTCTTCGTTCCATAGTCAATCGTTTTTCTATCACTGTTGTCACCTTTCTATCGTTGCTGTAATATCTCACAACGGTCAAGCCGGTGCCGGTGACCGCAAACATGGCGGTGATAATGCCGAAGGGAATGAATGCCTCAAACGGGACGGGCTATCAATTGAAAAGGATAGTATACAGTAAGCATCCTGGATCTCTTTATGATTTGAAGCGAGTCGTGGGAGACGCAATGCGACCAAGGTGTATCGTGATGGAGTAGAGAGTGGGACACATTACCATGGTTTTGAAGCTGATTTAGGACAGGAGAAAAATACAAGCGCACAACAATCCAAGTCCAACCAGAGGGTTCTGGGCTTGAAATCCCTTGGATGACGCACATTCTACTGTACTTGGAAGCTGAAGCTGCTACTCTCTAGTGGTAAGTGATGATGCTTGACGACATTCCCCCATTCCCATCACATACCTATAAGGAGCTCTTTCCATTACAAGTCATGTCGGCATATTTCACATCAATACGCATTGACAGGAGCTTCCTTTATGTTTGCTACACCATCTCATAGTCGATTGTAGTTGAAGACTCATTGTGTGATGTTGTACCAGCAGTAGTATAATAAGTTAGTATGTTGTATCTTACTCAAATACTCAAATAAATGCTTGACAACGTATTTATTCTTAATCAGCCATCATGTTAAATAGTAGCTATAGGGCGAGGTGGTGTGATTGGCCTTTAACTTATGCATAGGGTGTCTAGACTTTATCTTGACCTTCATGATTTTGAACATCGAGCGAGTCATGAATGATGGATGGTGGTAGCACTGAATCAATTGCCATCAATAACATGCAACAAGCGGCCTTGGATCCTTCGCTTATGGAATGTCTCCTACATCCGATAATGCTATACCAACTAAAAGAGGCACCTCTATGATCCTCAATTTCCATCACCTAGCAGCGAGAAATGGCAGCTGATTAGAAGACTACTCACGTGAGACATTCTCCTTCATTGTGGATGATACCAGAACTTTTTTGTGACGGCTTTGTCACACCACGGGCAGCCCACTTTTTTTTCGGGATGCATTAATAAGGCTTCCATTCTCCCTTGTTTCATACAACAGACGCAATATGAGCGACAAACCCGAGCCTCTCTTTGTTGACTTACATGACAACTCGAAGCCTGCCGAGATCGAAAGCATGTGCATGAGGTGCCAGGAAAATGTAAGGGGATAGATAGCAGCGATCGTTTGGTTTGAAAAGGCATTTGATTACTAAGGCTTCCCGATCGTCGTCGTTATAGGGTACTACGCGCATGCTCTTCACCAAGATCCCCCATTTCAAGTAAGTGTTCCAGTGATAGGAAAGAAGAAGAGGATATGGATGTTTATTGCTGTGTAAATAGGGAGATCATCATTATGGCATTCGAGTGTCCTCACTGTGGTTTCCGTAACAACGAGCTTCAAAGCGCCGGTGCATTCAATGAAAAGGCTCAGACCGTTACTTGCAAGGTGTCCGGCAAGGAGGTAAGTCATAAAAGTGGATATGTACAATGGATCTATAGAATTGACAAGGATGTATGCAGGATTTGGATCGTCAATTAGTCAAATCTGATTTTGCTGCTGTCAAATTTGAAGAGATTGATCTCGAAGTTCCTGCAAGCCGTCGACGTGGATTGTTGACCACCATTGAAGGTCTTATTGGCAACGTGATTGATGATTTGGAAGTGGGTCAACCTGTTCGCAAGCACACCGACGAGAATGTTTACAACCAAATCGAAGCCATCCTTGCTAAGTTGCGATCCTATCAAGAAGGCCAACAACCCTTCACTTTGACCATTGATGATGCTTCCGGCAATTCGTATATCGAAAACAAGTGTTTGCCAGCACAAGATCCCAAGCTCACCATCAAGTGGCACAAGCGTACAGCTGAAGAAGATGCATTTTTGGGTCTCCAACACCAAGAAGAGCAACAACAACAACAACAACCCGATGTCGAGGGTGATGAGGTTCCTGAGGTGATGACTTTCCCTGCCAACTGCTCCCATTGCAATGCCCCAAGCACCACCAACATGCACGTGATGGATATTCCTCATTTCAAGGAAGTCGTTATTATGGCCACGAATTGCGAGCACTGTGGATACAAGAGCAATGAAGTCAAGGCCGGTGGCCCTATCTCTGCCCAAGGCAAACGCATCACTTTGAAGATCACTGATACTGAGGATTTGTCACGTGATATTCTCAAATCCGAGACTTGTGGATTGTCGATTCCTGAGATTGACTTGGAGCTCACCCCTGGTACCCTTGGTGGTCGTTTCACTACTGTGGAAGGATTGTTGCGACAAGTGCATGATGAACTTGAAGAACGTGTTCCATTTATGCATGGTGATTCCACTACCGATGAAAGCAGAAAGCGCTGGGATGACTTTTTGAAGAGACTATCTGAGGTGGCAGATGGTCAACGTATACCCATCACCTTGGTCTTGGATGATCCGTTGGCCAACTCTTATCTCCAGGTAAACACCATCAACATCTTTAGATGCTTGTTTTTACTAATGCTTTTCTCTTTTTTACAATAGAATTTGTATGCCCCAGATGATGATCCAGAAATGACCATCGAAATGTACGATCGTGACTGGGAGACAAATGAATCCCTTGGTTTGAATGATATGAAGTTGGAAGGATACGAGAAGGACCAAGCAAACAAGAATTAGTGACATTAGTCATCATTAGAGGATTAGAATCATTACAATGTGTAAATACAATTTGAAATATGAAAAAGCCTTGTTTTTATAAAAGTGATGATGTCAATGGGTACGCAAATAGGTGTGAATTGAGCAAAGCTATTTATAGGTGGTGTTCATTCTTTCTGGATAAGATAGGAGATGGATAGGGTGATGATGATGTACGTTTGTAACCTTGCAATGAGCTTTCAATGCTGTCAACGTGTGCACGCACCTGCTCACATTGCTGATTGAGAATAGCCCCGCGTTCTGCCAATGCAAGTCTGTGCGCTCGTACCACTTCAGCCAGCTCTTCGTGTCCTTCTTGCGTTTGGCTAATGATTTGGGTGATACATGTAAGCTAACGTGTGATGGTATCCTATGACATAAAAATACTTGCTGTATTTGCTCGAAAGCCTTTTCCATTAGACTCGCGATCCCGTCCAGATGGACTATTATGTATCATCATTAGCGGGATAATACGCCGCCGTTTGTGACACATACTTGTACTCACGTTTCATTCGTTCATGCAATGTCATCAATCCATGCGAAACCGGCATTGCTGGCTCAGGCTCTTGACCATCCTGCTCGCTTTGATTGGGTGAACGCGTGTCATTGTGCCCATAGATCCCTTGGGGTTCTTGGTCTTTTGGGCTCGCATGATCATTATCTTGATCGATTCGATAATCCTCTCCTCCTCCTCCTCCACGTTGTTCAATAGGATCTTGCCTATAGATGTAGTGGTGCTTTGGCAATTCATCATAGTAATCGCTGTCTACCTCCTTGACATAATAGTAATGGGATAACATTGTTAGAAGATGTAGTAGGGGCTACTCGTTTGCAAGGAGCTTACGGTTTTCGTATTGTCTTCCAGGTAAGTTTGTTCATATTCTCGCTCCAAGCGTTCGAAGGAATCCCATTCAATCAACCCCTCGTTCTCGTCGCGTTGTTCATTGTTGTTGGTGAAAAAGGATTGTTTTGATTGATCAATAAAAGGGGGCAGCATCAAGGGTGGAGTCTTTGGCATCCTTCCTTTTTTGATCGTCAATGGAAAGAAAGGTAGATTTTATCTTTTGACACATGATCCCTTTTTTTTACACCACGGCACGCTTCTCATTCATGTAATGGTCCACGTGCTACTTTTATCCAATCCATCTTCCCGTGAAGTTCACAATGGTGTCATTGTATGGTAAAGATGATCAAGTTTATGCATGCCCAACACAACCCACATACCCATCGGCTGCATGTTCCCCTTGCTTTGTTTACTGAAGACATGATTAGCCAAGCACACCCATTACGCTGCTTTGAATAAAATGGTCTACTCAAGACATCTTGCAAACCCAATCCAAAGTACAGCAATACAATTTGGCGACCATAGTACCGTTTCAAACATCCTATAGCGTCATGGTGCATGCTGTTTTGTGGCAACGTAATCAATAATTGTCACAACTATGGGCTATTAGTAGACCCCGGAGAGATCCTAAATCATTCAATGGCCATCAATGTTGTGAAAGCACGGGCACACACATTCGTTTCGAAAAGAAAGGGGGGGAGGATGGGCCATGTGACAAGGGCACACCTTTGCCTTAAAGGGTTAAGAGTATGGATATGGCACACATACACACATACACATGCACACACGCGTGCACGATTTGTTTTTTTTTCTTTCTCTTTCTTCTTTACATCATGTTGTACCCTCCTTCTCAAGAGACTCTTAGAAAGCGTTTTTTTATCCCAGCACCTAATGATGCACCACCTACGGGTGTGGATCTCTATGCTCGTTTTGCATTTGCAGGTGCTGTTTGCTGTGCTATCACTCACGGTGCCATGACACCAGTTGACGTTGTCAAGACCCGTATTCAACTTGAGCCAGAGCGATACAATCAGGTAAAAAAACTACAAGACCCACGAGATGAATAGTAGCATCTAAAAAGTGATGATAGGGAATGATTGCTGGCTTTCGCAAAGTAGCAGCAGAAGAAGGTGCTGGAGCATTGTTGACAGGATTTGGACCTACAGCTGCTGGATACTTTTTGCAAGGAGCCTTCAAGTTTGGTGGATACGAGTTTTGGAAAAAGACATTTATCGACATGGTGGGCGTTGACAAGGCGAGTGATAATCGCACGGCCATTTACCTTGGTGCATCTGCTATTGCAGAGTTCTTTGCTGACGTGGCGTTGTGTCCATTGGAAGCTACCCGTATCCGTTTGGTGTCGCAGCCTGACTTTGCTACTGGTCTTGTGAGCGGTTTCACGCGTCTTTTGCGTGAGGAGGGTGTTATCCGTGGATTTTATTCTGGTTTTGGGTAAGTTGTATATATACATAGAGTGATTGTTGAAAAAAGAAAGTGCCTTACACATTGGCTATAGACCCATTCTTTTCAAGCAAGTGCCCTATACCATGGCCAAGTTTGTAGTTTACGAAAGAGCCAGGTAAGATTAGTGTTGTTGTTTACAATGTAGCAGCCAATGATGACTCAAAAACCCAAACTTTTTTCCCTTCCGCGTATGTGTGATGATGCAGTGAGACCATTTTGCGTTCTATGAAAACGCCCAAGGACCAGTTGGCACCTTCTACCATGACCATGGTTAATCTTGGAGCTGGTATCATTGCAGGTACTGCCGCTGCCATCATTTCTCAGCCTGCCGATACCTTGCTTTCCAAGATCAATAAGCAAAAGGGCGTCGAAGGCCAATCCATCACATCTCGTCTTGTATCCATGGCAGGCAAATTAGGTGCTCATGGCCTCTTCCTTGGATTGGGTCCCCGTATTGTAATGGTGGCTACTCTCACTGCTGGTCAATTGTAAGTATCACTCACTTTTTGTTGTATAACTTTTATACACCGATCACTCATTTGCTCTTTTGTTGATGCTGTTGCCTTATAGTGCCATTTATGGTGACATCAAGCGCATGCTAGGTGCCACTACTGGTATCGAGATTGCCAAAGTAGAGAAATAGAAGATGTGCATGTGTCTTTATATAGAGGCAATCTTGCCTTTATCAAATGAAATGTCATAAAAGAAATGTGTATTAACAACAAGCATAACGCTTGAAAGCTGCATTCTACGCTAATTGGTCCGGTTGGGCTTCTTTTCCGCATTTGTATTTCTACCAGCTACAGCGACTCTTAGCGCTGCCCAACCACTTCTTCATCGTACTTTACCCGCAACAACTACGCGCGCGACTTTTTTCAAAAGATGACAAATCTACCTGTGGTTGTCATGGACAATGGCACCGGGTAAGAAACAACCCCCCGCATGGAGCATTGAACCGTTCTATTTACTCGCCAAGATGACGCGCTGTACTCATTCATCCATTGTCCATGTAGCTATTCCAAGCTCGGTTTCAGTGGCAATTTGGAGCCATCCTTTGTATTCCCAACCGCTATTGCAACACGCGAGACGCCTTCTTCCTCGGGAAAGCCCGGTTTGCCTTCAAAGCCTTCCTTTTTGAGCAGCAACTTGGCTTCCAAGCGTGGCATAGAAGACCTTGACTTTCATATTGGCGACGAAGCTGTTGCGCAAAGCAAGACGATGGCTGTCAACTATCCTATTCGTCATGGCCAAATCTCCAACTGGGATCATATGGAACGTTATTGGGAACAATCGATTTTCAAGTATTTGCGATGTGAGCCTGAAGATCATCACTTTTTGTTGGTAAGGTGGCAACCAATATGCCTAGCAACAACAACAACAACAGCCTAACATGGAATGCATGCACCATTACTATTAGACCGAACCACCTTTGAACGCCCCTGAGAACCGTGAAATGACAGCTGAAATCATGTTTGAATCTTTCAATATTCAAGGCTTGTACATTGCTGTTCAAGCTGTCTTGGCATTGGCTGCCTCGTGGACATCCAACAAGGTAGAAGAGCGAACATTGACAGGCACAGTGATTGACTCTGGTGATGGTGTAACCCATGTTATCCCTGTGGTAAGTTACTATCTTTTGGTTTGAGGGATATACGTTATTCACTTTACCTTTCTAGGCCGAAGGTTATGTCATTGGCAGCTCCATCAAGTCGATCCCCATTGCCGGTAGAGATATTACTTCGTTTGTTCAGTCATTGTTGCGTGAACGTGGTGAAAACATCCCACCCGAAGATTCGATGCGTGTGGCAGAGTTGATCAAGGAAGAATACTCGTACGTTTGCCCTGATATCGTTAAGGAATTCAAAAAGTATGACCAGGAACCCGACAAGTTCTTTAAAAAGTACAATGGCATCCACACCATGACGAACCGTGTAAGTGGAAAAAGAGGGTGTGTATGTGATGGTACGTCATGCATGATATTCATGGGGAAAATGTAGGATTATGCTGTTGATGTCGGCTTTGAGCGTTTCCTTGCGCCTGAGATCTTCTTCAATCCCGAAATTGCCAGCTCCGATTTCTTGACTCCCTTACCTGAAGTCGTGGATACTGTTGTCCAGACCAGCCCAATCGATGTTCGCCGTGGATTGTACAAGGTAACATCCTTATCACAACTTGTTTTATTTGGATAGTGGTACTCATTTTGTGTGTATAGAACATTGTGCTATCAGGTGGTTCAACCATGTTCAAAGGTTTCGACAAGCGATTGCAGCGTGATATCAAGCGGATAGTCGATAAGCGTATCTCTATGAGTGAAGAGTTGAGCGGCTCCCATATGAAGGCCAAGCCAATGGATGTCAATGTCATTTCGCACAAGAAGCAACGCCATGCTGTGTGGTTTGGTGGTAGCTTGCTTGCATCCACTGATGAATTCCCCAAGTACTGCCATACAAAGGCCGAATACGATGAATATGGTCCCAGCATTTGTAGACACAACCGTGTGTTTGGCAGCGTCTTGTAAAACCCCCTTTACATATTAATAAAAACGTGCTTGGTTTGCCCCATATGTGTGATACAACAAAGAAGCTTTCATTATTCAACAACTTGAGTCATTCATTATTCTATTTTACAAAAGTAATTACAAATAAATGGGTATTTTTGGGATGGCTATCTGCACACATAAAGATCATTTCAACAGCCTTTTAGGTAGCTCGACACGACACGCATTAACCTTTCAAATCAAAATCAGTATGAGGATCGATCGCTCCTTGGTGATACAATCTTTCTTACCTTGCTTGCAAATCGAAGCGAACACAACGTCTCGTTAAAGTGCTCAGCCAAAGGCGAGATGTTCACAAACATAAGGGTTTTGCTCGTGCCTCCTATAGATGCAATTTTAGTGAATGGATGTATATGCATTAAGATGTACATACCAAGCGAGTTTTGAAGGAGGTATGTCAGCTTCGAGTTCCGGTAGGGTACATGAGCATTGTTTTCTGTTTTGCTATTGTTGTTCAAGGCATGGATGACATCGCCAAGGCTGCTTAAGCTTTTGTTGATTGCCTGCGTCTCTTTTAAGCGTTCTCCCGTAGCGCCTGAAAGTGCAAGTCTTTCTGAACCTGCCAAGTCGACAAGGTTGAGGACGCCTGTGCATGTTTCTTTGGCTGATCGGTTGAAGCCTGCTATCCGTAGGGTGAACACGCTGTGGCTACGAGATGATCTTTCATTCATGTTGGTGGCTCCAGTGGCTCTGTTGAAGTTGGCTTTTCGTAACATAGCATGCAACGTTGCTGGGGAATCCAAATGCACTAAAACGAAAATGACACAAGAATCAGAGATGGAGATAATGGCATTGTCCTTTTCATGATTACCTGTTTTCAACTGTGACACTGTAGTTCTGCCGTTTTTTGCATGATGGATCTCGTGCTTCACTTTGCCATACGTGGTAGGATCACCCAATAGATCATGAATGGTCTCATTGTAAATCTCGAGAAATTGTCCTTCCATAGTGTACTCCCATCCTTCCTTTTTCAATTCTTGGATAAGATCATAAATCTGCTCAATGGCTCGCGGTATCATTCCTGCCGTTTCAGCTGACACGTCTGTACTAGGACCTTGCATCGTGTACGTCTAATTTATCAATTAGCATTCATAAGTTACCAATGTAGTGTATGGTATTACCTTGCCACTTCCAGTCTGCCCATATGCAAATATGCAAACACTATAGCCATCAAGTGCCGATTGTACCAGGTATGCGATATCTTCATAGCACTCGCTTTGTGAAGTGGATGGCTTGAATATCTGGGAAGATAGCGAACGTTGGTACATCCCTTGATCTTTGGAAAAGATGATCGTCCTTACCCTGTCAAACGTAAACGAGTACTTTTTGGTAGTGCGCTTTCCTAGCATGCTGGATATGTCGTCTTCCAATTCGAGCGTGTCCGTAATGTCATCGGATGAATAGCGAATTCGCGTATGTTGTTGCGACTTGTCAGAGCCTATATATAATAACGATCCATGGTGAGTAGAAAGTAGGTGGATCGAGGTATCTTTTCTTACGCAAAACAGGTCGCACTCTGCAAAAGACACGGATGTTGCCTTTGAGCTCTTGGATGGTGTTGTACAGCTTCCGACGTCGTTGTGCAGCTTGCATCAAACTCTTCTCCATGGATACAATTTCTTGTTGCGTGGCAGCCCTCCTTTTCCTCACATCTTCCAATGCCATATCCTTTTCATGCATGCGTTTGTCCAATTCCTATATACATAATAAATGAATGAGTGTATCCTTTCAACATTGGTTCTTTCATTGTTACATACCTGTCCTCGTGCACTCAATGTTGGCATTCCAAGCTTTGTTTGCTCAATGGCTTTTGCAGTCTTCTCAATGGTTGCCTGGATACCTTATCAGCCTCAAATTTTGATTTGGTATAGATCTCTCCCTCCCTCTTACCTTTGCTGCTGCAATCTCATCTTCCTGTTGTTTCCTTCGATACTTTTTGCTATCTGCCTGCCCTTGTATCCTTTCCAATTCCAATCGTAACTCTTGGATCTTTGCTTGTTGGGGTCCGATCTCTTTCAACAGAAATTGGTTGCTGCGTTCGTGTAGTCGAATCAGCTTTTCCTTATTCTTGGCATGAAGTTGCTCGGCTCTCTAAACAGCAATGTTAGGACATCTAAGCTGATAAACATCGATCAACCTCCTTTACCTGGCTCATCGCTTGCAATTCGATTAGGCGCTGGCAAACAACCTCGGTTGATTCTGGTTCCTCTTCTTCGTCTTCAGCAGTGTTGGATGCTTGGAAATGAAACATGCGTGAATATCTCTCTCATCCATCGTCCTGGATCCACTTTATATACCTTCATGTTGGACATTCTTCGAATACGTATCAACTGTGCCCTATGACAAAAAACGTGTTTGGTTAAGAAAACACACTCTTTCACGTGAAACCTTGGCAACGCGTTCAGTACCTGACGACCTGTGGGACGCTTTTTTTGATTGGCATTAGAGATTGCTTGTTCACGAATAGACGCATAAGAGTGATAAGAGTGAAGAGCTGCATTCGTTTTGTTTGCTGATCCATCGAGCTTGCGTCTCTTTGCGGGAGTGCTTCTTTCAATCGCTGGTGCAGATCGATTCATTGGTTGGGTAGATAATAAAGGGAAGAGAAAAGGAGCGGACTCTGCAATGCATATAAACCAGTGTCTAAATCATCTCCCTGAATGATAGCAATATGATGGTGGTACAGTGCTAGGCGATCACGTGTAATGCTTAAGAAGATCATTGTATTGTTTCATGGTTGGCATGGAGATAGAGATAGAGAGAGCCATGAATAGGGAATATGTCTCGGCAAGGATACCTCAAGACTATCAACCATGCTATTCGTTCCTTGATGCCTATCACAAAGAAGCCCTCAATTCATTGTATAATGATCCCTTATTATCATGCCATTCTTTCATTGATGTGCTTTAATCACAAAGAAGTCTCTCTCTATTCACTGTATGATGGGCCCCTAATCAAAATCACTATCGTCATCGTCACCGCCGCCCTCGTTTTGGAATATAGAACGTTTCGTTTGTTGGGTATCTTGGTTCTTTTTGCGGATGACGCCTGATAATACAATTTAGTATCATGCCACACTCCAATGTTATTAAAGACATATCTGTACCCACCTGCATTCGTTAGCTTGAGCTCGAGCATGCCAGTCGAAAAGCTATCTGTGCCTCCTAATTCGTCAAAGCCAACGACCCTATTGCATGTTGATGAGTAATTCTTATCCTCAAGCTTGGATCTTTGACTCACTTTATCTGAGCGAAACCATCCAACCAAGCCATGACGCATGGCAACACCCGAACTTGTAACTTTTCGACCAAGAATGGTGCATTCATGACATTGATCTTGATGAATCTTGTGTTGTAGTATTCTCTGGCAAGTTTCTATATTGAACATGTGATGAGCCATTGTCTACCCAAATCGCTCATGATACTGCTACGTTACCTCCAAATGCGTATCCATAATCTTGCATCGTCGAAAGTCATCATGGTAAAAGTGACCTACGACATACTTTTCTGATGTTGTGATATCCATGAACTCTTTTTCATTGGTGATCTCGGTGTACAATCCATGCTTATTTTCCTCCATGGCCTGCCGCCGCTCGAGTCTATTCAATAAGGGTTACTATCAAGTGACAACGCGTGGTAGTAGTAGTAGTAGTCATAGAATACTCACTCGTCCTGAATGTCCTTGATGCGTCGTTCGCGTAGCATTGAGAGATCAGCATCCTCTTCTCGTTCAAGTTCCTCAAAGAGAGCTTCATCATCTGTAAGATCCTCGAGATCGTGGCGACTTTGACACAAGCATGAGTTAAACGCAAGAGCATCCAGGTGTCTAGTTCCTAGTTCTTACTTGTTTGATTGGGTCATTGTATGCAATAAAGTGTGGAAGGTCGGGTTTGAAAAGTAACAGGTGTCCACTTGCTTCTCCTGTCAAATGATACGCACTTTCGACTTTGACGCATTTGGTCTTTAATGACGACATCACATGTTGGCAACTCAATTTTGTAGCCTAGTAGGTTACAGCAAAGCTATACACCACCAAGATAACGCATAATACACACGATGAGCAAAAGTCTTTTCTTCTTTCAAAATCATAACTTTTATTATATTTTATCAACATGTCTAATGCTTAAAGGGAGATGATGTGCCTATAAGAATGACCGGTCAGCATACTTCAATCATAAAAGTAATCAAAGTGGTGATCACACTTCTTTCTCAGAGAGGGCAAGTAAAGATATTTCATTGTTGAATGAGACAAAGATGCGTATAAATATGCCCCATCTCAAATTAAACTTAATCATCACGGTTGAAAGAAGCGTGATCACCATGTGTGGATATGAAAACAATATTTACCTTGACAGAGAAAGAAAAAGAAACGGAAAGGGAGAATAAGCACAACAAAACTGCTCGCGCATCTCTTTATACAAGAAAAAAAAAACTTTTGTGCGCTGAACGAATTGCCAATCACGTCACCGAGTGGTCGTTGTTACTTGTAAAGTCCGATTGACAACACGAACTTCGCATGACGGATGGTGGACACGGGTTTATACAGTAGATAGGAACGATAGTATACTTTTTATTTGCGAAGTAAGCTATTAACAACGTGTGATACTCTGAGATTTTTAAGATCGGTATACGTTTGGCCTGTGCCAACAAAGTAAATGGGTTGCCCAGTGATGTAGGTCATGGATAGAGCGGCACCCACCTAGATAATAAAGCGCAATGTGAATTACATGTTGCCATATCGCTTAAGGTATTCATGCTCTTACCTTATCATCAATGGTATCAAACTTGGTCAAAATCATACCATCAATATGTCGAGGATTTTGCATGCCCGAGAAATCTTTGAGTGATTGATTGAACTTGCTAAGCTGATCCACTGCTTCATTGCCAACGAGTGCTTCACCAACAAAGATGATCTTGTCTGGGTTGTTGACTGCCACCAATTTAGCCAGTGCTCGCATTAATGGTTCATTATCCTGCATTCTTCCAGCTGTATCGATCAACACCACATCAAACTTGTTCACCGCCGCTAATAGATGAAATTAGACAAATCGTCAAAGTGCTCCTTATAGCGGTATACTTACCATAGCTAATAGCACTCTTTGCAATTCCTGCCGAATCTTTACCATAGCCACGCTCGAATAGCTCCACTTCTCCTTGACCACTTGTCTGTAAGGCTCGTAAATTGCGGGCGTGCACACGTAATTGTTCTACGGCACCACTGCGGAAGGTATCACATGCAGCGATAAGGACCTTGTAATTGTTCTGAAGCAACCAGAAGCACACCTTGCTCAAATTGGTGGACTAAAAGGGGTTGTTTTAGCATACAACTTTCCTTAATGACATCCGTTTTTACCTTTCCAACGCCATTAACACCAATGAAGGAAATAGTATAGGGCCGATTTTGTGCTTTAGCTTGTTCAATGTCACGAAGGATATCCAATGATGTCTTTGGCGTTAAGATACGTTTCAAAGCGGCTTCCATACTGTCACGAACCAGCGTCGAAACCCCTAATGTTGGAATTTAGCATATGAGATACATTGTGCCAAGTTTATCACCACCTACTTGAAAAGCTTCCAATCTTTTTGCCTAGTAGATTTGACCTTACGCTTTGGCAAAGATGTTCGGCAATGTCGCTGGCCACATTTTTCTTGATCAAATGTTCCTTGATATCACTTAATACTGGATCCAGTGTGTCTGCTGTCAATTCCCTTGATCCGGTCATGGATTTGAAGAATGAAAACATCCCGCTGCCAGCGCCAGCTTCCTTGATGCTCTCCTTGGTCACTTCCTCCTCATCGTCATAGTCATCCTCGTCATCCTCTTCTTCCTCTACGTCCTGCACTTCATAGATACCATCCTTGTTGGTCTTTCCAAGCTTGGTCGGATCCGCAAATTGTGCTGCCGCCATCGACTCAGCATCTTCATCAGCCATGCCGGATTTTGAGCTGTAATCGAGCGATTCCATCTCTCCACGAGCAATTTGTCCTTCCCATACACGAGCTTGCTTTTGCGACTTTTTCTTTTTGCCATTTTGCTCTCTAAAGAAAAATAACCCCCCATTGGCAATTAGCCGCCGTGATCCCATCGTTTGATGATTTTACTTACTCGTTGGATGGCGTTGTTGCTGCTGCTTTGGATCGTCCTTTTTTAGATCTAGGACTTGTGCGTGGACTTGATTGGAGTCGAAGCGCTTGGATATTCTTTGCAATCTCATCATCATCAACGGCCTTGGTGGATTTGGATTCCATTGCTGAGTAAATTACATGGTCAATGCGACGTTGCATATGCATATAACAAGTATGATGTTGATGTACCTGGCTTCACTTGTACAGATCCCTTTGCCGAGCTCTCAAACTTTTTGGTTTCCTCAAACTTCCGTGGAGCACGTTGTCGATGCTGTATCCCGTGTAAGAGAAGCGTTCGTTGTCTTATCGCTCCCCACCCACTCCCATCCATCCTATCCCACTTACAGATGTGTACTTGTCTTCGAGTTGTCTCAAGAGTTGGTTGAATACATCATCGAACGAACGATAATCGCCATCGATACCATAATTGGTCGTGATGGTCTGGTTGAACATGTCGATAAAGAGCGTTTTGACGGTCTCGAGTAGCTCATCAATATAGGCCAGCTGCAGGATTTTTTGATAGGCCACCTATCAAGACCAATCGCCATGGTATGCTCTGATCAGATACCTGTCAAGGAGAGTAGATTCCAGTTATCTTACCACGAACACGAGATCCATTTCATTGGAGAAGGTCCACTTCATGGCGTAGCTGTCCTTATAAAAGATGTCTGTGCCTGCACGTTCTTCAATGAGGACGTTCTTGATGAGCGCATCCACTGGCGACCCGTGTAGAGGTGTAAAAGTCTTTTCCCATAATACGAAACCGCCCTTGGTGAGAATGCCGAAGAAATCAAGCATGAGGTGTGATAGTAAGGAGCTTAAAAGTGGAGAAGAGGTCAAAGACAAGCGGGAGGAATAAATCAGGATAGGCCCAATTAGAGCACTCCACTTTGGCGACAACGATTTCATGCTCTCCACTCTATCGGCTGGTCATGTGATGAAAGGGCCATAAGCCTAGGTGTAGTCAGGGACAACCCTTCGCCCATTGGATACTAATATACATGCATTCACCAAAGCCAAATCATTAAAGCAGATGACCTGCATCCAACACGACAGCTTAATGAGTTATTATACCAATGAGCAGTAGCCTGTATGAATGAGATGGTGCTTGTAACAAGAAGAGGAAGGTAATAAAAAACATACATCATCTTGCATGAATCCGGTTTCTTTCTTTCTTTCTTTGAAGCTTCAACAGGTCAAGAAAAACAATGACACCATGTATTGAAAGAGGTCGTCAAGCTTACAATTTAGTGCTCACAGCAGCATGACAAAGGAACCACTATATTATTTCATTGTCGTTGCTATGCAACAATGTGTAACTGAAAAGAGTTGAGTAACCTTTTATTGAGAGAGGGTATCGTAAGCATGTGAGAAAACACTAACGCGGGAATTCGTACACCGGCTCTTCTCTCCACACACCACACCACAACTATGCCGTAAGTGCTATTGGGATTACGCGACATTGCTTGCTTCAAGGTGACTAAAACGAATACTGTTCATAGTGCACCCGCCAAAGACACACCTATCAAGGTTTCTGAACTCGCCAAGCACGACGGCAGTGATCCTTCCCTTCCCATTTACGTGGCCATCAAGGGCGACATTTTCGATGTTACTGCAAACAAGGATGCTTACGGACCAGGCGCAGGATACAACGTTTTCACCGGAAAGGATGCATCAAAGGTAGGAATGTGGTTTGATAAAGAGTGAAGGTGGTCTCATATTGACCCGTCTATTACTATGTAGGCTCTTGGAAAGTCGTCCCTGAAACCTGAAGATTGTATTGCTGATATCAGCGAGTTGACCGAGAAGGAGTTGCAGACTCTTGACCAGTGGCATGCCTTCTTTGCCAAAAAGTACGACATTATCGGCAAGGTTGTTCCTGACAACTAAAATAATACCGTAAAACTGATGTTGCACCCTGAATAAACAATGCATACAAATACATCTATACGTTGATCACAGATGATGGATAAGAAGGATCGTGGTAGTACTACATATAATGGTAACCAGGGATTGTTGAGAGATGACGAAAAAGGATATTATCCCATCCGCAGCAGCTTATAAAGCATGCATTTTCTCACTCGCGTTCAAATGTTTGTTTCTTATCTCTTTCGCACTAGTAACCATGTCCATTGAACCTTTTACTATCCCATCTTTTACATCAGAGCAGCTATCTCTTTTAAAGGACAAGCTGAGTAAGACCTTGTATCCAAACGAGCTCGAGGTCGATGTCGGCTGGACATACGGTGCGCCTACTTGGGCAGTGAAACCTCTTGTCAAAGCATGGCTCGAAGATTTTGATTGGGAAAAGCCGCGTAAAGAAATGAATCAGTGGCATCATTATCGCACAACCATCCAAGGCCTAAAGATCCATTTTGTTCACGAGCCATCCAATCATCCTGACGCTGTCCCTCTTTTGCTGATCAATGGATGGCCTTCAACATTTTACGAGTATCACAAAGTAATCCAACCTCTTCGTGATGGTGAACTTGGTGGACAGGTATGTAGTAGTAGGTTTTACATGCTGCGGTCAACCGTATCTTACGCATCTCAACTCTTTTCTTTTTATGCCATGTTGTAGCCCTTCCATGTGGTGGTGCCAAGCTTGCCAGGTTACGGTTTTTCTGATCCCCCCAAACTCAAGGGCCATGGTATCGCCGAGAACGGAGAGATTCTTGCCGAGTTGATGAACGTTCTTGGCTACGACAAGTATTGTAAGTTAAGCGTATAGTGTCTTTGATTGGCTATGGATATATACTCATGATACGTTGTCTGCATGAAACAGTGGTACATGGCTCAGACTGGGGCTCGGTTATTGGTAGCTCCATTGCCGTGCAACACAAGCAGCAATGTAAAGGTTATCATACGGTGATGCCCATGGCCACTCCTCCCATACCAACCCTTGGCAACATCCTATTTCATCCATTCAAGGTGGCAAAGCTATGCGCAAGCATGATTGTCGGGCCTGAAAGTGTCTATGGGGCAAGCGAATTTAGATTCAAAGGCAAGAATTTTGCCGACGTGGTCAATGATGAGGATGCAGGCTATCGTGCCATACAAGGAACACGTCCTTATACATTATCACAAGGTCTCACTGACAGCCCTGCTGGTCTCTTGAGTAAGTATCGAGTAACAAAAAAAGAAAGCAGGAATGACTCTAATCCTCACAATGGAAAACAGGTTGGATGCTTGAAAAATTTCACGCTTGGACGTATCACCCAGCACAAAAGCAAGATACTGAAGCACTACCTGAGACCATCACAACCGATGAATTCTTAACGCACGTCTCAATTTACTGGCTTACTCAAACAATGGCATCCTCAATGCGTATATACTATGAAACGATGGTGTTAGTAAGACATTTAACAGGCCCAGCACACCCACGTGTAGAGGTCCCTACTGCCGTAGGCTACTTTCCGGCAGAGATGAGCCGAGTAAGTTAAACATGGATCACTATACGAATGATTGATGCAAGCCTATTAACATAAAAAACCCTAGTTCCCACGAGAATGGCTTGAATACGGAACCAATTTGCAGCAATGGTCCGAATTTGACTTGGTAAGTTTATGGTTGGTGATACGTTACAATGACTGATCGCACGATTAACAACGCTTCCTTAAAGGGTGGTCATTTCCCAGCCATGGAAGAGCCTGAGCTTTTTGTTACCGACATCCAGAAGTTCGGAAAGATGTTGAAATCCAGAAAGGCATTCGATTAATTTAGCCGTGTGTTTCCCCCATCATCATCATAGCAGCACATTAGCAGAAAAACATGGGACCCGATCCTTAACAAAAAAAGTTGATGATTGAAAAGTTGTTTCACATCACCATCTCGTCTCTTGACTATGAACATGTTTGTCTTTGTGATTGTGGATGGGCTATATAGTAATAGGAAGTTGTACAATGAGTATGTGGTTATATCCCATTATAGGATTTGTAATCAAAGAATGACAACATAATGTTGATCAGTAAGGTGAATCAAGGAGATAGAGAAATCCCCTATATGGTAAGACCCGGAAGTAGTCGCAAGAAGTGCGTATATGGCAAGACGTGCTCCTTGGAAATCCCATGGATCGATGCGACCTTGGTAGAACAACCAAGGATCCTTTCTTTTGGTTTTGTAACATGTGTGTGCGCGTGTGATGTCTACAGCCACGTTGTGTCATTCACGTACCTTTAAGGTTCATATATCATCCCATGTCAAAGGGTGTGCGTTACATGGTGTGCTTAAACCAGGGTAATGATGGTACCTTGTTAAATGGTATCCAAGCAGTACGATCATATCTGATATCTCCGTTTTATCAACAATGAATGCAAAGGGCATAGCTTCGCTGGGGCTTGGTTCCTTTCATCGATCACAAGGTTTTTGGGATAAAGATACACATTGGTATATCTATATCAGCAGCAAATCGTACTCCCGAGCAAATTATCAGCACACATCAACCTTGCAGATTTCACATTCTGTGTGCACAGCCGCATGTATCTCGTGAATTGCGATTGCCTAAAGTCCGAAAAATCCGAATGATGTTCGACATGCATTTTAGCTTTGGTGCCTGTTTTTCCGCTTATCACACAACCACATGCAGAATAAAACGTAAAGCTCAGTAGCACGAATCACAAATAGAAGCACATTGGAACCCGCTCTCTATATATAAAGGAGGCTGGCTGGTCAAAGAAGTGGGCTTTGACCCAAATGTGAGATGGCTGTTGTATATGCATCATATCATTGTAAATGCTAAAAGGGGGTGATGTGGGATGTGTCTTGTGCAAGTTACACTACTTTGGTTGCGCTGATTTTTCGATGTTCATGTGCAGGACTCCTTGGATGATGGGCTAAATAGCGCATTTGTTTACAGCTCCGTTGGGCGACGACTTGGTGTACAATATTACCAACGCACAACACTAGTATACTTCAGCATCGAGATCAAACCCTTTACATTTCTATATGGATAGCAAGGATGCTACGTACCAATATTAGCAGCTGGCCTTGAATGCTTACATACGCATCATCCACCTTTGTATAAAGAAGTATGTTGATGTAACACACCTTCTCCTTGAAGATGAGCATTTATGATGTGGTAGAATGTTCCACTGCTTTCAGGACAGGGTATGTCGGATTTTGTGCAGAATAAAGTTTTCCCTTACACACCCTCAAACATATACAGACATATCCCGACATGCCAAGATTGTTATCGATATCAAATAACTCTTCACACGATATGCGCACACATACATACACACACGTATCCCATGTACCAAAAACAGGTCTTGTGTGGAAAATAGGCCCGCACGATCTTTCAACATCCCCCAATCCTGTACCACTTTGAGGTATGTGTGGGGCAAAAGACAAGTAAAGATGATTACCAAGGTCACACCAAGAGTACCAAAAACAGCTCCTGTTTGACGTAATCACACAATTCTAGAGCACGGATTCCGAACGACAGGCAATCAATGCAGAACCAAAGTTTGTGAGACATTGATACCATATGCTGAAGTTGCGAGAAGTTTACCCGGCCAATAGCATTCGGGCGATGGGGATCAACACTGCGGACCATCTTCAACGACAAATGACGTTTTTCGACTCGCTTTGCTTTCAGTGACCCACAGCTGAATTTTTCCAGGGCAACCAAAAAGTATAAAACAGTGACCACACCTCATAACGATTTAACATTTTATATCCCCCAATCTCTCAAGAAAAGAAATCTATCTATCTCTGCTACTACCCCACTATTAATCACCATGGTCACCCAAAAGTTTGTCGATAGCGCCACTGAACTTGATGGTATGCTCCAACGCATGCACGACCTTGTCATCCAACGTAAGTAATAGGCTCATGTGGATCATGATATGGGTAGTAATAGCTTATCTTTATTATTAGATGTCAGAGAAGGCCAAGACGCAGAACATGCTGTTGTCAACTACTTGCCCCCTGAAGAATTGTACAAGGTTGTCGACTTTGCCTTGCCTGACCAAGGTGCAGGTGTTGAAGGTATGGTGTTGTTGTTGTTGTTGTTGTCATGGATACTGTTGCTGTGATGACCCGAATGGGCAGCTGACCAATGGAGAATGAATGAATAGGCACATTTGAGCTGATCAAGAGCACCTTGGACAACAGCGTCAATTCCTGGAATCCTCGCTTTATGGACAAGTTGTATGCTGGTACCAATCCCATTGGTGTCATTTCAGAGTTCTTGTTGGGCGTTTTGAATGGCAACTGCCATGTGTACCATGTATCACCGGTATTGTCGCTTATGGAGATTGAAGTCACCAAGGCTGTTGGCAAGCTTCTTGGTATGGGTGATGTAAGTAACCACGCAACCATCTAACGCTGTGTATCTCGTGTACTCATGAGAGCTTTATGTACATGTAAAGGCTTCTGGTGGTTTGTTTTGCCCTGGTGGATCAGCATCCAATCTATTAGCCATGGTCACTGCACGTAACAAGTTATACCCCTCCATCAAGACCAAGGGCTACATCCCCCGCCCATTCAACCCTGAAGCAGAATATGGCAAGCTCAAGGTCTTCACTTCCGCTCACTGCCATTACAGCATTGACAAGGCTGCCCTTGTCCTTGGTTTGGGTACTGATAGCATTGTCAAGGTTCCTACCGATGAGCGTTCTCGCATGCGTGTTGATGTGCTTGGTAAGTCGACATCATCCAAGATGATCTTGAATCGATGATCTAATATCCCTTTCTTTATAGAACGCTTGATCAACGAATCCATTGCTCGTGGTGAAACACCCTTCTTTATTAATGCCACTGCTGGTACCACTGTTATGGTAAGTCTGACAGAGGAGGAGGAGGATGGCAACAGGAAAGTACTAAATGAGATTGATGTGTGTATTAGGGCGGCTTTGATCCTATTCGTAGTATATCAAGTATTGCTAAAAAGTATAATTGTTGGTTGCACGTGGACGGCTCTTGGGGTGGTTCTGCTATCTTTTCGCAAAACGTGCGTGAGAATTTGGGCTGGCTTGATGGTGCTGGTTTGGCTGATACGTTTACCTTGAATCCCCACAAACTCCTTGGTGTGCCGCTTCAATGCTCTATGCTCGTGACTCCGCATCAAGGACACTTGCTATTTGCCAATGCCAATAATCTTCAGGCTGATTATCTTTTCCATGGCAACCCTTACGATCTTGGTGCTGGCACTATCGGATGTGGTCGCCGTCCAGATGCCCTTAAAATCTTTTTGGCTTGGAAGTTTTATGGCAAGGATGGTTTGGGTGCTCGCATTGACCGTGCCATTAAGGCCGCTGCTGATTTCACTGATATTGTCCGTGAGAGACCTGGCTTTGAATTAGTCGCTGATCCTAGCGCCTTTTGCCAAGTTTGCTTCTGGTATGTTCCACCCTCTTTGAAGGACGAGGCTGCAGAATGGAAAAAGGACCCTGAAGTCTTCAAGGTCAAGATGACCCGTGTCGTACATTTGTTGCATGAGCGTGTCAACCATGGGGGTGACTTTTTGGTGGATCATGCGCCTTTAGATAACTTGGCTCACTTTTTCCGTATCGTTATCAACGCACCCACTGTCAATGTTCATCGTGATCTCGCCAAGCTCTTGGATACCATCGAGGACGCTGGAAGAGAAATCGACTGGAAGAATGCCTTTTAATTTGAAAAGCTGTATATATCTTATACCACTTGTATGTAGTTACCTTGTTGTCAGTAATAAACAATCGACCGATTCCATCAAAAACACCTCTTCTCGTATACTTTGATCTTATGAAAGCATCAATGATCAACCTTTTCTCACTCAACAGCATCTCCGGCCGTATCTTACAAGGTGTGAGGAACATTATTGACAAGATCCAATCACAAGAAAAGGAAATAGAGTTATACTATTGAATGCAGTCTTTGTTCAAACACAATGAATCAATCAGACCCAATCTCTTCTCTCTTTGTTCCTTTATTTATCACAGCATTTACATGTGGATATCCTTCTACAATCCTGGATCGATCTTTCTATAACACAAGGGATCAAGCCCCCCACGCACGACGAAGTTCAAGGTCCTTACACTATAGAAACGGTTGGCCAACTTAGCCTCGTATTCGTTCAAGTAGTCCTTTAATCATCCAACGTCATTCACAGAGATAGATTGAGAGGTCCAACGAATCGCTCCAAGGGGAGTGATACATCGACACGAGAAGTTTCTATCCTTTAGGTATGCATTGTGTAAAAGTGGATGGATGAACATGAAGCCTCACTTAATGCGTGGTGGCGAATCATATGCATAGCATATCCAAGCATGCGTTGGATGATGACGATTGTGTGGTTGACAGGTTGTACAAAAGATGATGATAGTAGTTGCCATGGAAATACATGTAAAGTACGATAATTGGATGCATCAATCGTTCAGGATGAGAGCATCAAAGTTCAAGTTGACAAAAGGTACATAAGATCAAGCCTCCTTTTCCACGCGACATCCTTCCATCCCATGAACCAAACCAATATCCATATCCATATCCATAAGAACCCGTATGTATTGGATCAAGTTGCTATGCGAAAATAAAGCTGCCTCTATATAATGGCTATCTGCTGTTCATGCGAAAAGGCCGTAAAGCAAGCTGCTGCAAGTAAACAAAGTCGTTTGAAACAATGGAGTAAAGACCTTGCTAACAGCAACTGCTGGAATGAATGCTGATACGTTTGGCTGTGGTCGACGAGTGTGCAAGAGCGTGTGTTGTAGAAGAGTGACAAGAAGAAGGCTGTGTACACGCCATGGATTTGCCATTCAGTCAAAGACAATCGGATCAAGGCAATTGTAGGATTGACATGATGGGTTGAAGCAGGATAATCGTTCGCAGGTGATTGTATACTTGAATGGACCAATAGTTGAGAATGGGAGGAAGGTGGAAGAAGAAGTGGAAATTAAAGAGGTCGGACACCTCTTGTATAGATGCATGTACATCAATCCTTAATTATGAGATCGTTCCTCTCGAACCTCAAACTTTCACACAAGGTGCTCTTGGTCATGATCATCATCTTTGTATTAAAAAAGAACCTATATTTTAATATAAAAATTTGGAATGAGAGGGTCCAAATGTAGGATAGTAAACGATGGTCGAATGGGAACATAAATAGGATGAAATGGCATGTTCGTTGTTCCAGCGTTGGTCGGCCAAATTCTCTCAGATCTAGAGAATAGTTCATATCTTGTGGATTGGGTAACAGTTGCGAGTGAAAGGTAGTAGGTGGGATGTATTGAAAGTACGAGAACAAGTTATTGATGCAGGTACAACAGCATCCAACATGATCATGCAACATGATGTACAACTACAACTACAACTACTACTACTTAATTCGTTCATGGCCGCTTTTATTGTGAAATAGACATTCCAATTACATGATGATGATAATGATCTACAGGGGTGATGGGAAGGAGGGGAGGGAAACCTATGCATACTTTGTGTATCCGCCTTGTCATGCTGCAAATGTCATTTGGCTTAAAGCTGGTTGGAACCCAGAGCTTGCTGCTTTTTCCTTGTTGCTCTTCCAAGAAAACGATCCCGGCAAGTGTACATAGTAGCCATGGCACACGAATCGAACGACGTAGCTGCCATATGCTCCCAATTCGAAGAAGCTTGCACCGACTTTCAAGTATGTAATAAGCATGCTTGCTCATGACGCCAACTGATCCATGTCCCATTGTAGGTGCCTGCTACTCGTGCAGCTGCCGAACATGTCTTGTCCTCTTTTAGGCAGATCCCAAAGGTGTTGCCGATCTCTCAATACATTCTAGGCAAGTGTTCATTTCAAGTCGATAATAGCATTCCATTGACTCGTTGTCCTCGTTTAGATCATACGCAGATCCCCATGGCTCAGTTCCAGGTTGCTGTAGCGATCGGCGAGGTTGCTGTACGCGACTACACGTTATATGCGTTGTCCGACTTGGTGCAGCTCAAGAATCACATGGTGGACTATTGCATGAAACGACCAGAGCAAGTTCCTATATACGCATGAAGTTATTCTTTATCTAATGTTTCGATTGCTTTCTATAGTTTGATGCGATATGTTCGTGACCAGATCCTTTCAGATGTGGCCTTGATAACCAAACGCAGTTTATTTGATGTCTCTGATGCGGATCGAGATGCTATTTGTGCATCAGTGAAACAATTGATATCGATGCAGGACCATGGATCAGTAAGTACTTTGTTGATGGTGGAGAATGTATGCACAGGCTAATTTTCGTTTCATAGGTGGTTGGTGTGGCGTTGGCAAGCGCACTGGTGGATCATTTCTCGAATACCAAGACAACCACCATTGGTCTCAGCTGGGAATTCCATCACAAGGCCAAGGTGTTCTTTGAGGTTCGTTTGTATATAGGATCAAAAGGAATCAACGTACACTGACAGCGTTATCTTTAGACCCAAGTTTTACTTGGCCTCTTTGAGCAATCGGTCACACAACTACACGCACTTGTATCACAGCAGCAGCAAACGCCATTGCTTGGTGAATTAATCACACTCTTGGAAAAGATCCTCCACTGGGAGTTTGCATCCACAACCACGACCACCGTTTTGCCAGGAACCTTTGCAAAGAACGATGCAGATGATGATATCATTGATAAGGAAGATGGTCCAGGTGCTATCAAGAAGACGTATACGTTGTTCCCAAAGGCATGGCAACCCACTGTTGCAAATACCGATGTTCTTTGGCTATTCTTCATGGTGAGTGTTTATGCAATATGAGTGAATGGTAAAGTATACTCATTGCTGTTTTGGGAAAAAAGACATATGCAATGGTCCAGAATGATGATACCTTGGGACATCGATGCCGTCAAATCCTTATTCAGCTTGCTGGGTTCACCAACGAGTTCTTCAACAATGATATCAACGCCACTCGACAATATGCAACCACTATGGTCCATGGCGTATTACGCCTTATGACAGAGTAAGGAAATGATCTATGCGAGATTTTAGAATGGGATGCTTACCTTTGTGAATAGCATACTCAATGCCGGTAATGATCCTTCAACATTATCAGAACATGGTCCTCAAGTGCTTGGCACCATCCAGATTATCCGCCGGCTTTTCGAGAACCTATCCCTTGGCGTATTGTGCAGTGTCTCAGAGTTCTTCAGGTTCCTAAATGATTTTGGCAAAATCACTGTCGCTTGTATTCGTGGTGCCACTGCTCAAGATATCGATGAAGGGTGGATCAGTGAAGCTGGTGATGAATGTCTTCAGACGTGGGTTCGATTAGCTGATCTTGTACAACCAACCGATGGCCGAGGACCAGATCCAAGCACTGGGCTTTCTCCTGCAGAGATTGACAACTTGGCACAATACTTGCGCAATGTGTCATTCCAGATCGTTGAGACTTATGTGGACGCAAAATTGGAACAATCAAAGCAAGCCATTATTGACGAGGAAGATGAAGACGAATTGGGTGATGGTTACAAGGATTGGGTAAATCATGCTGGAGATCGATCGGTGGTGTAACAATTCTTTTGGCTGACAATCCCTCTCTCTCCTTTTTAGGACACCTTTGCCGATCAATTGACATGCATTGGCACACTTGGTCGCCTGGACCCGCACAAGTCTTTGATGCACCTTCAACAACTCATGAATGACCGCTTTGATCGCCTTAAACAGTTCTTCACAGCAGAGACTACGGATAACGGTAATAACAGCATGCCACGTGTACACAATAGTATTAATATGCATGCTCTAGGACAATATCTCATCTTCTTGCAAGAGCACCTCCATTGGATCGTCCTTATTACGGCCCATGTTCTCGCTGATGCTGGTAAAGGAGAGCAACCAATGATTCCAGATCCAATTATGCAGCTGTCAAGTACCCAAGTAAGTTGCTTCAAGGATACTCAAATGTGCATTGGAACGCTGACATATGCTGTGAAAAGCCATTGGACCAAGATCAGGTTACAACTATATCAAGAACAGTGCTTGAAATCTTCCGCTTTCTTTCCAGCTTTGGCGCTAATACAGTCGAGGTATGAATGATTGAGGTATTACTTCTACGTGTCGATAACGTATAATAACGACCTCGTATAAAGGCATCGAATTGTAGCCCTCAAGTTGCCGAAACTCTTATTTGGTTCATGGAACGATGGAGCAAGTCATATCTACTTGTGAATGAGAATGATTATGGGTTCATGAGGTAAGTAGCGAGAAAAAGTGACAGCAAAGCAACCTATTCTTACTTTTAGTTTTTCTATAGTCCAAATATTGCACGAGTTTTTGGTCGACCAGGACCATCGGAAGGACATGGCCTTGAGATCATTGACTTTTTCATTGACCAGGTTCAAGCCAACTTTATATTGTGGAATGCTGATCCGGATGTTCTTCACCAGGTATGAAAAGAGGATGTGGGATGATCATGTCTACAAGAGCTGACACGTTTCTTTAGATCATTCGATGGCTGAACACATGCGGCATTTCCATCAACCTGAAGACTGGTTTTCTTCAATCAGGTTTGTATATTGGAACGTTTGCAAGTTGATGTTGATATCCAAGCTAACGCTATACTAGACAAATTCCCACTCTTGGTACAGTTCATTACTGAAAATGTGCAACAATTGCCAGAGGTCGTCCATAAGTAAGTACTGTAGCTTGTCATCCTGTAATACTTGATGTACTTAGCCCATGCTCCTTTTATTCTTTTAGTTCCCTTATTCAAACGATTGCGACTATATCCAGCGGTGCCAGCGATTTCCAAGTACGAGAGCGATATCTGAATCTCATCTTCTCAATGATTGAGGCAAGTGGGCCAAACTACAGGCTACAAGCAGTGATCCTAACTTTGGCACTATAGAAACGTTTGGGCTCTGTGCTTCATCGATCGGATTTTATGCAATCGTATCAACGTGCCGATATCATGAACGAGGTCTTGAATGCGCTTGAGGTAAGAAAACATGCCGTTATTGAATCTTTGTCATCGTATATCTTAACGCTTGTTTACATGTATAGATGTTGGATGGCCTTGCATTGGCGAGCGAATACAACAACACGCAAATCATCTTTCAATTCTGCGCCAGGTTTTTCGAGAGCTTGTTACAGCTAATGAACATGTACAAGACCGTGGGAGAAGTTCAATTGTTGATCCTTCAATTGCTTGCAGATCTTGCTGGTCGCCTGGTAAGTGGAAAACATGTACGAGTGAAACATGAGTTCTAATCGCGATGTTTCGATATCAAAGGATTTCGGTTTGTTACAACAGGATCAGAAGCAAATGTTGTATCAGATCATTGTGGAGATCTTTAAGAGCTATGGAGCGAGCAATCGAGGTATGTCATGAGAATTGTATCCCTCATGAGATTAACTAAAATGTCTTCCTTCCATAGGCAAGAAACGTCAACACGCTCAAGAAGAAGAAGCCGATCGTCCCTATCCCGATATTTCAACTGCACTTTGCATTCTCACCAATATAATGGCATCCGAATTTGAGGACTTTAGTGAGTATACATTGTTGGTGAATGGTTGTTCGCTTAACTCTTATACTTACTTGGTCACTTTTTTTCCCCTTCCAGACCGAACAGAGAATGCGGCGCCTACGCCTCCTGGTAGTGCTGATGTGGCCGATGTGGTGTTGTTCGGCGTCAATGTCATTATCCCCATGATTGATTTGGAGATGCTCAAGATTCCAAACCTTTGCCAGCAATATGTCAAGCTTATATCCAACTTAATAGAATTCTTCCCCGACAAGCTCATTGGATTACCCACCGACCTCTTCAATAATCTCATAGCCAGCCTTGGATTTGGAGTCTCGCATGATATTGTCGATGTGAGCATTCTCGCCTTGCAAGCCGTTGCACCCTTGGCGCTTTGGGCTCATAACCAATTACTCGCCAACAATGCTAGTACGTGCTAAACCCTCATTTTATCTTGACTCAAGTACTCATGTTATCACTTTTAGACAACGTTGAATTCGTGAGACCGGCCTTGAACAAGTTCCTTGAGCAGGTCGTCAAGCTACTGTTATTTGATAACCTCGATTCATCAGTGGTTGATGCTGCTTCGGAGGCACTCTTGTCATTGATTTGTGCAGAAAGGGTAATTGGAATGAGCCTATCAAGTTTTAGGTATCACTGACATCTATGTTTTTTTTTGTTTATTAGGACTCGTACCTGGTCATTGTCAATCAAATCATTTCACAGCAATCAGGAGAAATCCAACCACGACTACTACATGCTTTTGAAAAGCTGGATGCTTCTACTCCACGGGAATTGCGTGGTGTGCTACCACCCAGTCGCAACGTGGCTGGTTTCAAGGAGGCCCTTTTTGTATTTCTGGTAGACGTAAGAGCTGTCCTTCGTGTAAAATAAATTATACATGGCTCTCTGTTGAAAATAACCAGAGAATGCTGTTATTTATATATTATACCAAGCAATCATAAGAATCTATGTTTATCTTGTCTTGCATCATGTTGTAGTGCTAATACCTCCTTATCATCCTCCTCCATGGCATTGGTGATCAAGCACAATCACTGCTAACACGTCAAGTATGTATGTGTCTTTTCCATTAAGGCATGAGCGGAAATTACGGAAGTTGTGCTGTGATGATTCAAATGCATTGCCACAGATGCCTTAGCGTGATTATAAGCTGCATGGTCGTTGCTGGCAAGGTCAAGGCGGCTGCAGGAGGTATGGGGATCGAACAAAGAAGACATCATTTTCCTTCCTTTTTGCACTTGATCGTGTTCATTGTCATTTGCTGTAACTTAAACAATTGCCACAACATTCTTTCTTTAGCCCCAGATGGGTCCCCAAGGCATAGATGTACCACAAAGGATCCATCAAGGAATAAGACTAGTTGTACTTCTTACAAGACCAATTATGAAACCACTTCTATTCATGTGTACAAGCAAGCAATAAGGGAATAAACTAGCAAGGTTCAAGGGATAAGAAATAACGTGTTCTTCTAGCTACATTGCAACCATCGTCTTGACACTTGCTGCTATGCAATACAAACAACCAGTTATCCTGTGCCACTATGTCTTTTGACAGCATTCATGAGCTTCTACGGTCAAAGGTGCCGCTGATCGGTGCTTCCATGTCAGTAGGATCCTTGCGACCTTGATTGCGTACTCCCATTCCTCACCTTTGTTATGCCTGTGTCCTTGATAACCTCGTCAGCATTCTTGTTCGAGAGGTGTGGTGAGGTTGCATGCTCGTTTGCTCATCGCGCAGCAGGATCGTTAACACCTGTTCCCATCAACTTCTTTACTGGTTGCCATGGTCCCCTTCACGCTGTCGCCATAGGTTACCAAGATTACCAAGATAGACATAGGTCATCGAGATACATACATGCAACGATAACAATAAACGTATACATTGTAATAAGGACAAGTGGAGGATTTGGTTTATTAGCATACAAGAGGTTGTTATCTTCATTACAGTAAACAAGGGAAAGTGGGTGATCTATTACTAAGGGACACCTTCTAATACTATTACTCCCTTCTAATACTACTATTATCATTTTCATAATTTTGGTCGGCAACCACGAACTGCTGGTATAACGCAACACTCCAGCAGACGGCGCCTCATCTTTCCTCATTGCAGAAGGGGAACCGCTTCACGTCTGTTGCGCTAGCGTAACCTTACACCCTGTCAACTGCGAGGTAAAGGAACTCTCATGCCAACCTCACAAGGAGCAAGGCATATACATACTCCACTCCTGCAACAATGACCAGAACACGCTTAGCGGATAACATCAAGTCATGTTACGACCCAAGAGCATCCATGAACACGACCAGCGCAACATGAATACTTTCAGGCGGAGGGGTAACGAAGAAGGGGGAAAAAACCTCGCTTTGTTACGCGGCAAAGGCTAAGGAAAAAAACCCCCTGTGCAGACCACTCCAATCAACTTGTTCTATAAAAACTTACATGAGTACACAGTGCCAAGAGATGAATGAACAATAGAAAACTTACCGGGCAAGAGAAAGGAGGATACTGCGCCTCAGAGGAAAAGGGCTCTGTTTTATAAGAAAAGTGCGCTCTTTCAAACGCGCAAATTTTTTCAATCCCAGCGTGGTTTTTTTACGTGCTTTTTTTCGCGCTTTTTCGTCCAATTTCCTTTTATACTCAGCGCGTTTCGCGTCGCGCATTTTACAGGCTAATCTCTGCCTAAATACGCCGTTCTTTCTTGTACATGTGGGCAAGTAGAAGGGGAAGTAAAATTGTGTTGTCAATGACAATCATGCAAACTGACACCTCCTAATGTGGCACGAAGCTATCATGCCGACGCCGATGCGGAGTGACGTGCAGCTAACAGCGACGCCATGTACCACTGCACCTTCTATATCGGTGCATGTTGATCCATTACTGTTTAACAAGCTATGTTAGACCAAAAGTATATACCACACCTTCAATACCAAAATGCTAATACAAGAGCACTCATATATCTGGACATGCTTATCAAGATGCCAGCGACAAGCAAATAGTAAAAGAGATTCGACACTCTTGGCTTAAGCTGCAAAAACAAGTCGTCGTCCTGCATCTTTAGCTACTTCACAATGAACAAAGACATCTTTCATATAGCATCACGATTGAAGCATAGTAGAAATAAAGACGTTAATATCTCTCAACTTTACGATCAAGTGTGAGGGACTATTGTTGGGTACCATTACTATGGATTTATTGTCTTTGAAAACAAGCGCGTCTATTTAAACCTATACAGCCCGCTGAGAAATGCCACTGCCTATCGTCTATCAGCGTACGAACAAGGAAGCTTCAACGAATGTAATGTGACAAAGGAACAAGGTATCTCGATACAATGATGTAGATGATCCAATCTCGTTCTCCACCTTCGAAAATCCTTCCTCCCTTTCATTCCACAAACCAGCCAAGTCGATCGCACAGAATCAGTGGGCGTTGTTGTTGTACCGCCGTCATAAGCATCTTCATCCATGATTGCAAACTAATTGTTGTGCGTGCCTTGATTCCGATATCCCAATATCATCCATGGCAGCAAACCGCCTTTCGTCAAATATCGAAGCTCTCTGATCCATGCCATCCAATCCATCATCATCCTCACCAGTATACACGTAACATGATCCATCCTTCCTGCTAGCGACATTTCAGTGTCACCTATCACCGTGCTTGGCTACATCCATCCATCCATTCATAACCATTGCAAGTCCAACATGTTGATAGAAAGAATCATTTGCTGGCATCCTTCCTTTTCCATCCGGCTGTTGGGTCAACCACTTCCTTTGTCATTGTCTATAGCTGCTCAATCAGGAGAAGAATGCTCGTATGGGGCAGAATAGTTGATAGGTGATATGGCATCATCCAATGAAATCCATATGTACCAAAGCAAGTTGCTACACGTAAATAAAGCTGCTTCTCAATGACGGCTGTCTGCTGTTCACGTAAAAAGTACTGCAAGTAGAGAACGCCGTCTGAGACAAAGACAAGACCTTGTTGACAACGACAGCTGTTACGCTTGATCGGGAAAAGGAGTGTGCAAGAGCGTGTGTTGTAGCAAAGTGACAAGGTTGTGAGCGCTGTTTGAGACAATGAAGTAACGACCTTGCTGCTTGCAACTGCTGGATGAACGCGTTTGATTGTCGTCGAGGATTGCACAAGAGAAGGTGAAGAGTCAAGGAACGTGGGTGTTGTAGGTAGGGGTGCACACGCCATGGACTTGCCATTCAGTCGAAGTCGTTGGGATCAAGACAATCGCAGGCTTGGCATGATGAGCTGAAGCAGGACAATCGTTTAGAGATGGTGGCAGCACTTTAATGGACGAGCAATTGAGAATGGGAGGAAGAGACAAGAAGTAGGGAGCGGAAGAGCTGGAAACTAAGTAGATTTCTTTGTGTTGGATGATGTTTCTTTGTGTGTGCATTGCTCAATCAAATCCCCTCGGATCAAGGAAGTTGAAGGATGGAGATGCTGGGTTGGAGCAAGGGAATCGTTTACATGCATTGGGCTGGGCAACAAAGGTGAATGGGAGGAATGGGCTATCAAGTATCAGTTTACAAATAACTTTGCAAAATGATTTTTTGTGACAATGGATGATGTTTTGTGTTTGAGCGTAACTCACCCAAATCCCCTCGGATCAAGAAAGTTGAAGGATGGGATGATGGGCTGGAGCAGGACAATCGTTCATATGCATTGGGTGGGGGCAACAATGGTGATTGGGAGGAATGGGCTATCAAGTGGCAGTTTACAAATAACTTACCAATTTGATTCTTCTGATATTGGATGATGTTTCTGTATTTGAGCATTTTTCAGTCAAATCTCATCGGATCAAGAAAGTTGAATGATGGGCATGCTGGGCTGGAGCAGGACAATCGATCACATGCATTGGGTTGGGTAAGAAAGATGAATGGGATGAATGGACTATCGTATGACTATTCGTTAAATAGACTACAAGTATCATGCCTATCATGCATAATGGGCTGAGTTACACAAAGAGGTCTTTCTGCATCATTGGCTCTCTCAGGGTCTGGCTAATTGACAATGAACAAAGACCACTCTTCATATAGCATCACGCTTACAAACATAAAGGTGCCTGTATCTCCGAACTTTACAATGAAACCTGGGGTCTTTGATAGAACAATGTGCTCGGCTTGGCCAACTACACCTTGTGTGAAAGTTTCACGATCAAGCTTGCCAATCCCAGATTTCGCAATGTCGCCACCAGCCAAAGTGAAACGAGTCGACCTCTTGAAACTTTTTTCGACGACCAAAAAATATTTTTTGGGCTGTTTGCGACATTGAACGCGAAACTTTCACACAAGGTGCTGTTGGCCAAGCCGAGC